AAGGTAAGGCAATATACATATAAAAAATAAGACAACACTTTTCAGAAAAATGCCAATTTGAAAGAAATAATTCAGACCTTATATGTTCGCTTGGTGGCACTTGCAGGAGGGAGGCAGGTTTTATAAGTGCCATGCTATAAATCACAAATTTCCTTTAGATTATAGTGCAGGGGAGCAAAACTCAATTCCTGGAGGGCCACAGCCCAGCAGCGTTTATTTCCACCCCTGCTCCAACACACACCTGTAGCTTTCACCAGCTATTATAAACCTCCTTGGCCTGATGTGCTCATGCAGTACCAGAAGACCTCAAAAGGGGGCGGACAACATCAGCAAAGATGCTCAGACTCACTGGAGGCCGTAGGTAAGTCAGGTTCACAGATTCTGGTAGCCTACACGTTTCACCCATGATCAAATAATTAATGAAACGTAATAAGATGCAGTGAATCTTTTTATTAAGCTAATAGAAGTCAAGCAGATACTGATTTGTAATGTTTTTTGTTTTTTCTTAGTGAAGAATTCACAGGGTGCACTTCATGTTTACTCCGCCAAAAATATTTCAGAGAGTAAAAATGGCCTCCACTGTTATGAATTGCTCCTAATCCACTGGAGAGGGTCCCAAATATTATGATATTTGTCTGCATCATCCGAGTCTTTGAATGTGGGTGCGTTTGAGTATGGTTCAGTAATTTGATAGCACATCTGTCGATCCACAATCTCTTTAACCCGCTGCCTTCAACTCATGCAGCACACTTTCATGTGTGTTTAATTCGCCAATTAGTCTCAATGACTTCACGTGTTTTTTAAAGCATCTTTGTGAAGGTCTCAGCTTTTAAAGGGCTAAAGTGAGATAAACCCTAGGATATTAATTTCAGCATACTGGCTGGTCATAGAATGGATCTGCAGGCTTTCCAGCACTTTTGTGCCAGCAGGCATTTAAAGTTTACAGCAGGGCTTCATATGGGACTTGATGACCTTCACAAACTGCATCAGAGGAGGCATGACTCCAGCTGCAGAGACATTTCATATTCAGCCATGTCCTGTGTCGGAGACATTTACTCTTACAAGGAGTAAGGGCCCCAACATTTCTGTGGTTACATGGACCTTTGAAATGTTAAAAACTAGTGCAAGATGTTGTATTTTTTTTTTTTTAAGTTGAGAGTGTTGAAAGTGTGTTGAGGGGTTGTTAAAATGCATTGCCTGCAGTTAGGAATACTATATCAGATGATCTCACTGATCTTCACATACAAAACCAGGTGGATCATTCCTACTACACACTGCATTTTCATGTAATTATAGTAATTAATTAATTATCTTTTATTATAATTATTATTTTTTTATTTCACCCTGAAAATAATTTATTGGAAAGATATAATTAATAAAATGCCTGAGCTGGTCTTAATACAAATATTTCCAAATAAATACAAAACAAACATATTTATTTGTTCATAGGCCTATTAAAGTTAAAAAGGCACTGCATAACATTAATGACCCATATTTGTAATTACAAACTTAAAAATAACAGCAAGACTAAGTGAAGAGTAACACATCACCTGAAGCAAAACTCCTGTGTGTGAGAAAGTGTTTGTATATTTGTGTTTTCTCTCTCTCAGCTTACAAAGTGCTCAAGTAAAGCTTTTGCTGCTGTCCGGCAAAAGTACAGCTCCTTTTGAAGCTTTATTGGAAAGGTATGCTTGTTCCCTCAAGTATAGTTTTACACACATGGTGGTTGCTGGCGTGTGCGGCAGATCTTTCAGGAAAGAAAAAACAGATGTGGCCTCTTGTCTCTGTTAGCCACATCTCTCTTCAGGCCAATATACATTTCCAACTGACTGCTTTTAAGAAAGTGACCTATTACGCTGACAGATATATTTTTCAAACATTGTCCGGGCTTGTCAAGAGATTTCCACGAGGTAGTGTAATTTGTTTGTGAACAGTTTATTAGCAGCAGTGGTAACATTTCCTCTCAGAGCATCTATTAGGGCTTTCAGAGTTTGAATATGATCGCTGATGGATCTAATGCAGCAGTGAAGGACGCAGATAAGAGAATGTCAGAATAAAACAAAGCCAAGTGAGCAGATCCAGTCATAGGGTCAAACTCCAGTGAGTCACGCTGCCCTCTGCTGGCAAACACTTAATCTTAGGCCAAGACCCGCAGCGCAATACGGGTAAAACTAGTGTGAATCACATTTCTTGTGAAAGTGTAAACAATGTGAACTAGGCTGGATATTTATTTCCATTGTAACATGTCTTTGTTAAAAAAAAAAAAAAAGATACTTTTTTTCTTATTCAGAAAGCCAGTCGGTCAGATGGACACATGCTGTTTTATCATGGAATTTGAATCATATTTTATTTTATTATAGCTAAGCGTGACTTTCTTTCTGCTAGTAGGCTATTTAGATTTTTTTTTTTTTTTTGGCATCTGTGTGTGCTGTGTGTCCTCCTATAGCATCTGTATCCTGGGTATAATGATTTCACAATCCCCTCCACAAGTCATTAAGCACTCCATGCTCCATACATATATGCAGAACACACCCTGAATCTTTAATACATGAGCACCATTAATCTCTGTACCATCTTTAAAAGCAGAATTAAACTTTCATTTGTATTTTTCTTTCCTGTGTGTCTGTTGAGCCCCCAGCCTACTCTACTTTTTAAATATTAATCAGTGCTGAATCACACACTCTCTCTCTCTCTCTCTCTCTCTCTCTCTCTCTCTCTCTCTCTCTCTCTCTCTCTCTCGCTCTCTAGCAGTTTTACACTAAAGACAGCAACAAGCACCAAGCAGCACTGCAAATACAGTACAAACAGTAATATTTTAAAATATTATTGCACTTTAAAATAGCTGTTTTCTGTTTAATATCATTTAAAATTTAATTTATTTCTGTGATGGCAAAGCTGAATTTGCAGCATCATTACTTCTCGCATGTGATGATTTAACATGGGTAGCAAACTAACGATCATATAGGATCATCATCTGTTTTTGCCCTGGACATCAAATCTAGTTTTTAGGTTTTGGTTTAGTTTTAGGTGTGAGCTGTTATCAACCTACAATTTCCCTCCGATTTGTGATATAGTTTTTAGGTTTAGAGATAGGTTAAGGGCTATATTTATTTGACAGGAATGTTGTTCCAAGAACATGTTCTACATTTGTGTCATAGAGAACTACATCTCATATCAGGGTACTTTTCAAATATGTGTTACATTTCTAGACAAAAGCAAGAAATCAAGAAAGTTTAAAGAAGTCAAAGATTAGAATATGAGAATTAAATTAATAAATTCTAACATGCCATTGTGGATATTAAATAATTTAGGTAATAATTTTCCTGAGTGGAAATTACAATGTGAATTTCAATTTTACACAGAAAATGGATGTAAATGAAAATTAATGTACATAATGCCAAACTGCAAACTGTAAATTACTTTCAAAGGCAATATATATTTGACTAAAACTATTCGTTTTTTTTTTTAATTAATAATGAACTCCGTTCCAGTAGGCTATATAAAGTACTGGTCAAAAAGTTTGGAAACATTAAGATTTTTAGATAATTGTGAAATAAATCCCTTAAGCTCACAAAAATACAGTAATATTGTGAAATATTATTACACTTTAAAATAACAGTTTTCTGTTTAATATAATTTAAAATGTAATTTATTCCTGTGATGTCAATGCTGAATTTTCAGCATCATTACTCCAGTCTTCAATGTCACACGATCCTTCAGAAACAGTAAAATGCTGATTTTCTGCTCAATTATTATCAATTATTATTGGTCCTAATGATTAATAATGTTGAAAAACATTTTTGCATGCTTAATGTTTTTGTGGAAACTGATACATTTTTATCCAGATTATTTGATGAATAGAAAGTTAAAAATAACAGCATTTATTTGAAATAGAAATCTTTTATAATAATATAAATGTCTTTACTGTCTCTTTTGATCAATTTAATGTGTCCTTGCTGAATAAAAGTATTATTTTACTTACCCCAAACCTTTGAATGGCAGTGTATCATGGTTTAAAAACATATCAAGCAGCACAACTGTTTTCAACATTGATAATAATAATGAATGCATGTTAGAATAATTTCTGAAGGATAATACTGATGAGTGGAGTTGATGCTGAAAATTCTGCTTTACCATCATAGAAATATATTACTTTTAAAACATTAAAACAGTTTTTAAATTGTAAAACTATTTCACAATATTACTGTTTTACTGTATGTTTGTTTGATCAAATAAATACCGCCTTGGTGAGCAGAAGAGACTTCTTTCAGAAACATTAAAACATCGTAATGTTTCGAGACATTTGACTGGTATATCAGTACATTTTACATTTAATTTGCAAACAATTATCTTTTTTTTTTTTTTACATTTATAAATAAAAATTATTGTTATAATTGAATGACCATTAGGAACAGTAAAATGTAAAAGTGAGGTAAAACCGCACCGTAATGCTTGTAGTATTGTCCCTGAATTTGTACGGTAAAGATCTGGTAAGCACAGCTGGCATTTAGTTTATACCGCAAATTTACAAACAATTTTACATTTATAGTGCTCATATTACAAACAACAACATTTAAACATGGCACACAACCCACACAATCTTGCACTTATCATTCTTTATCTAATGCGAGCTGTAATTACGTTTAATTTCATATAATGGCCTTCTTAACCGGCAATATCTCCAAAGTTTCAGTGTGTAGGTCCAGGCGGTCCCTCTTCAAGCAGCTCCGCCCCGCAGTCGAGGAGACAGCGAAGAGACTGAGACATGTGCTGAGAGAGACAGCGCGCTGTGGAGGCAGGACCGATCTTCTGTAGGTAGGAAACAGATAAAATGTCATTTCACACTCGTGAGAGCGACTGTCTGTAAGGAGCAGCAAGTTGTTCGCGCGCAGAAGCGACATTTAAAGCGCCACATCGTTAACTTTGCGCGTGATGCGGCGCGTGTGGGTTCAGCATCGCGTTTGTGAGCGCGCCACGAGCCCGTAACCGAGATAACTGAAGTGTTGGCTACTTTTTACTCTCATTGACTGGTGACAAAGAAGACCGACTCGGTCAGGTGTCTTAAGAGAGGAGACTCACGGACCACGCGCATGTGTGGAGTATCAGTAGGATTTTAGAGCGCGCACGTTCGCCTGAATGGATGGTAACTATCTGGCCACTTTTTACGAGTCTGAAAAAAGTTTTTTTAAAGCCACTGGAAGGAAGAATGGATGTGAAAAGCAAGCGGTATTGTAGTTTGACAAGCAGTGCTTCTGAGATGGAAACATCTCAAGCTATGGAGGTCGAGATGCTGGATGGATCCTCCGTGATAAGTTCTTTCACTGAGCTTTGACTTTACTTTTATTCCTTCACAGAAGAATGTGATGCTTTTGAATAAGACTCTCACACACATGATCGTTCCCTTTAAACGCATCTATTATTAACTGAGCTTGTATTTTCTCCCTGTTAATTGACATTATGGACAAGAACTCTATTGCATATCAGATGGAGTTGACACTTTTCATGGTCGTCTTCCTGTTTTGGGTCACCGTGTGTGCGGATGACAGTAAGATCATTTCAGACCGGTATGCTGTGTACTGGAACAGCACGAATCCCAGGTAAGAAACACCTCATTGCATCACTACTGAAAGGAGTGTGAGTCAAGTTTCAACATGACTAGCAGGTTTTACGCGAGTTCTGCAAAACTACTACAATCAGGCCAGAGTTTGTTTGGAACTTTTCCCTTTTGTGTTATTTTTATTTTATTTTGACCTTTTATACACACACACACACACACACACACACACACACACATGTATGTATATGTATGTGTATGTATATGTGTGTGTCTATATGGGAAACATATGGGTGACTCTTCAATTAGGGAAACTTTTCTGACCCTCTAGAAAAAAGGCTTTATATAAACAACCCTTATTCCAGTGTTCTAGTGTCCAACTTTTTATTTTGTCTGTATAATGACTTTTCCCTAATTTGAAATATAGAAATAGTTGCCAATGCAATATTTAAAACATTTGAACACTATGTTGGGCTCATCTTCTATCTATATAAAAAAAACTTTTTTTTACTTGCACTTAAAGCATTTTTTTTTATTATCATTTCAATTTATAATTGTATTTTACATGTCAAAGATTCAGTGCCACAGTACTGCTGTCATTACCATCATGTTTAACATTTAGGAAAAACATTTTTTTTCCTAAAAAAAAGTTTCTAATTGGTTATCATGTAAATATAAAGGCGGTATATTTTTATAAATTAATTTGTGCTTTTCAACTTTTCTCCAAAACCTAAAAAAAAAAATCATTACTGTCACAGATTATTTTACTATCCTGAAATCCACTCGAAGGTTGCTCAGGCCATATACTCCGATCTTTATTGTAGGATTTGTGATGTATATTTTAATATCGATTAAACAATTTGGAAGTTGTCGAAAAAGCCTCCAATTGAAGAATCACCATATATTATTATTTTTTTTAATATGTTTTTCTTTGATCAGTTCTGATACAAGTTACGTGAAGTCATTTAAATCAGTCCTAAACATCGAGGGACACAGTTATTCACGTGCGATTTCACTCATAAAACCACCAAGATTTTAAAACGCGCACACAAAAAGGCCTCACTTGGGCACTGTTTTAACAACTTGTGTGTTCCATTTAAAAGTACTTATAGGGCTTTTCACAAAATCAGCCTCTCTATGAGCATATTGTAACTTTATGGCCTCATTTATTGCACGCTTACTGTTTGACACTTGGTGTCTGTTATGAGTTACTGAGGGCTGTGCACAGTTACATTGTGTGCCGTTGGGGTGCGGGGTTGATAATCACCCAAAATATGTTAATAAATGCATAGTCTGATATCCTGTCAGCCTTTGAAGAGACTGTTATTTTGTTTACTATTCTTTCTTCATGGATGTTTCTGAGGCGGGATCAGTACTGTTCATTTCATATCACCATATGGTTTAAATAGTCTAAGACGAAGCCCCCCTCTCGGAATACCCCAGCACCCCTCATCAGACCGCTCTCAAGGGCTGTTTCTGGCAGAGGACAGGGCTTTGTGTAACCACACAGTCAAACTTATACATTACATGCCACAGTTTTAACCAATTATAAGTCATTACTGAAAAGTCCACAGATGTTTGCTCTCATTAGTTCTGTGAAGAATTTCTAAAGTTCTTTTTTGAGTTCTAGGTTTGTAGTTTTTGCTGGGGATTGTTGCTTTTTGTCTTTTGTAAGTACGTTTGTATTGAACTGTTTTCTTTTTATGAAAAACAATAGCATGGAAGGAAGTTAACAAGGAAAAAGAGAAGATAATTTTATTTGCGTATCTTATTTCTTTTCCAGTTCATCTTAAAGGAAAGAATGCAGAGTAGAGTGTATAATGTATTTATTTATTTTTTAAGAAAGAGACTGCACATAGTTTAAGCCTTTAAAAAGTTAATGGGCTTGATTTTTGCATTACAAGTAAATGGTTATGTTATATAGAATAAGTTACAATAGTAAATTATTATTATTATTTATATATTAGACCCCCCCCCCCCCCATTATAGGAAAAAGTTTTTTTTTTTTTTAAGTTTTCTGTCCCATATTCATATTCAAATAATTAAATCTCTGATTACAGCAGATCTGGATAATTTTGTTCTCTATTTTCCCACCTGTAAGTTTGTGCGTGTTTGTGTCTGCTGTGCTATGTCAGAGCAGTGAAATGTTTGTTCAGCTAAACTGAGATGGGTCTTCCCTCTGTGTGTGTGTGTGTGAGAGAGAGAGAGAGCTCAGGGAAAAGGCATCTCTATTATTAGGCTGCAGAGTTTTTAACTCGTACTATTGATTTTTACTGGTCAGCCAGTAAATCTATGAGATGTATCAGTTCTTCCAGGTTTGGACGGTCAGAAACGCAGAGCAGATATGCATTGTTGCTCCAATGATTTGCCTTGGTTGTTTGCAAACCTGGAAAACTGAAATTCGAGTTTGCGGGCTCATTCTGAGCTGTGGTTTTCTAGCACGCCACCATAAAAGCGAGCTGTGCCGTCTGGTGTGGTTTGAGTCAGGTCTCGACTGTTTGAGTCTGTTGTGTGGCTCAATTAGAAGTGTGAGACTGAAATGACTTGTGCTAAATGACCCCAATCAGAGCATAAATAAATACACTGAAATACATTTCTGCTCTCTATGAGTTCAGCCCCAAGGTGTCGATTTAACCCTTGTGGCTTTACGGTAAGGTCCACGAGGAGACTGGTGACTTATAAAGAGCATTTAGGGTGAAATGTGAGTTTTCACATAGGTACCCCATCATGCAGCACTTTGGGACCGTTTCAGAATGGAGCTGTTCAGGTCCGAAGGGTAATCTTTGTGATTACATTTGAGTGGAGCAGCTAAATAGTTGCAGTGAATGCTTGTGTGTATAAAGTTTAGTTTTTAAGCTATTTAGCAGGCGCTAAATATGTTTTATTTTTGTAGTTTGGCACTTTTAGTTATTATTTTATTGCTATCATTATTATTATTAAATATTTAATATTATTTAATTTAATTAATGAAAGGAAATATTTTTATTTTTCCCCGTGCAAGTAAAATATGCAATGAATTGTTTCTTCATAACGAATAAAGATTTTTCTGAATTTAAGCGACCTGTTATGAAATCCGAATTTTTTTCACTATAATATTCACTATTAAATATCAATTCACTATAATAAGAACCCATGGTTCTGGTAGGGAAGCATTTCTTTGTATGGTTTTATTTGACTTTCTCACTCTTTGGCATAGTGTAATTGGTTCCTCAAGGTTATGAGGGATGCCTAGTGTCAGAGGACTTCTGTATGAGGGCAAGACACGGATATGACTGTCTGAATCCACATGGATTTTATTCTCTTAGGGTCATTAACCTCTATTGTGATTGGTATGCTTGAAATTAATGACTTCAAGCTTGACCTTGGATGCTCGTGTCAAACTTCAGCTCCTGTAGGTGGCATTGCACCACATTCTGCCCCAGTTTACGGATTTGTCCGCCATTTTGTGAACCCTCACACTTGCCTCTGGATTATGGTGCAAGACGAAGACAAAAAATGGAGTATGGGGTTAATTCAGTCATACTATGAGAACTAACCAGATATATCTTTTTTTTTTCATTTTATTACTAAGAATTACATTTTGAGGTTTATCCCCTGGCAGCATTTTGAAACTATTTATCTAGCATAGAGTGTTGAAAAAATTAATGTGCTAAATGTACTTTGCATTTATTGTAGTGACAAATTATCATTATGGTAAAGCATCTGTTTTTCAGACATGCGTTCTTGAATTTGTTCAAGTCTTTGTGTTGTTCACTTAAACAACACAGTTCATAACACAGTTATGTAGCAAACAAGTGTGCTGATTTTTTTTTTTTTAAAATCTAATTTATCTCTCTATGGCAAGTCATATACGTACCCAGTGCCCAGTTTACTGTGCCTGACATTAATTGATTTTTCTGTTTTAAGCAGCACTTAGAGTTCAGTCAGCTTCCACTTCTTTGTTTGTGCATTCTTTCCGTATGTGTTTATAATTCATTTCTGGGCAGCTGGAGGTTGGCAATTTACAGTCTGCTTTCATCTAGACAGAAATACCTCAAATTTCACAATGCATGACCGAGTGTTTCTTCTGCTAAGACTGTGACCTGCCGTCCCGAGGGTTGGGGGAACAATTTAGCCTCTTTGTAGGAAAACACTTTGAGAGAAAACCCATTCCAACCACCAAATTGCCGTCCATCCCGTGACTTATTGCAACTTTAGCATGAGATCGCCGTTTTGTTCTGTGGTTTAATCAAATTAACTCATCCATTAAAGTGTATAAATATAATCATTGTTTTTTTCCCAACGACCCTCGTCCATTAATACGCAGTTACTACAGTGAGGGAAAGCACTTAAACTGACAGCGCTCTGGGCACAGTGAATTCGTTAGTTTGGAAATCAGATTACAGTGGGAATGGCAGTCAGCTGTGTCCACTTGCTAAAACAACAGTGCATCTTTTAAGATGGGTGCATGGAGTCACGCAGCCTCACTGGTGCTTTGTTTCTATGAGATTACGGGATACTTCTGTTGGAGAACTGTAGGAAGAAATTCAGTTACTGGGGTCTGTAGGTCAGTGGTTATTATAGCTATAATGCTTCCATTCTGTTATTGATGTTTACCGCTGGACTTCAGATTCATCTGCTAATGATTATCAATGACAGAATGTTTCATGAGACCTTTGTTCTCAAAATACATGAACCAAAAAGGGAATTGAGCCCTTGTCGGCAGTGAATGATGCAAATGGTCTAACGCCATATTGTATCAAAAGGCTCCAACATGTAATTAAAGATTAAAGTTGCCGCATGGTTTCTACATAAAACGACTGTATGAAATAGAAATTTTGTAATCAGTAATCTTGGTTCAAAGTTTCGTTGAATAAAAAGACTACTCATCGGCGTATTTCATTTTCAGCATTAATCAAAGTTACATTACCTCAGGTTGGAATAAAACATCCCGCTGTGCCAGTCACTGAATGGTGGAAACGGTTGTGCTTCTCTAAATTTGTATTGCAGGAGTAACATAACCCTCTCCGCCATTATCTGCACTGTCCTGCCCCCCACCCTGCG